TGGAAAATTGGGGGAAAAGAAATTGTCTGTTAGGGGCAGAATGACAGGCCCTGATTGAAATGGAGACACAAAAAGAAGGAAAATGTCACCCTTAACATGGTTTTCCTCTCTGCCTTAAAGAAGTGGAAGTAGCACCTGTGACATGGGCATCCCTGCCCACAGCAGGGGCATGGGACGAGATGAACTTTAAGGTCCCTTCCAACCCAAACCCTTCTGTGGTTCTGTGATGATTTGTGCTGATGTCCAAATGTGGGGGGTTGCTCTGCCCCAGAGATCCCCTCCCAGGGTGCACAGCCAAAATTCTGCACAGCAGCAGCAGCTGATTTCAGCTGAGAAATGTAGAAACTCAGCAACCACGGGGTGAAATGCACGACCAGACCCTGCAGCACATCAGACAAGTTGCTGGGACGTGGGGCCTGTTTGTCACCATCCCTACCAGGGATGCCAGAGAGGCTCCCTCCTAGTGGCAAGAGGTGACAAACTCACTGCCAGCCCCTCACCAAGAGGATGTCCCTCCCCATGGGACAGCAGAGGGGTAATGCTGACAGACAGGGTCTAGCAGAGCCCTCAAAGACAGCAACAGCACCTTTTTAAAAGGTGCTGCTACCAAAAGGACATCAGAAGGTGTCACGCCTGCAAGCACCACTAAACTTTCACCTCACCAGCTGGGGAAGTCTTTGACATAATGAGCTGATGAGGGGGATTTTACTTAATTTTTTTTCCCCCACAGATTAGTGGAAAACAGAAAGTCCATGATCTGTAGCCCCGTTGCTGACCCCCAGGCTGTGACGTGCACATAGTGATGGAGCACCACTGGGTTGGCCCCACCATGGAGCTGATATTCAACCACCCCATGCAATCTCTGGTTTCCTGCAGACCTCCCTGTGCCGACATTTCCTGTCCCACAGCAGGTTGTGCCCAGAAAGCCCAAACCTCTGCTCCCAGGTAGCTCATTTCCTCCCTGGCTACTTTAACCCACAGCTGGGAGAGGAGCTTCTTGCTTGACCACACGTGAAGCCGAGGAGGGAGAGCGCAGGCAGCGCTTCCCTGAGACAGAGCACACAAGCAGAGAGAAAGGGCAGTGCCAACTGCAGAAACCACCAAGCCATGCAACAGGAGTAAGGAGAGTCCTGGTTTCTTGCTGGGGGCTTGTAATTCCTTCTTTGGAGGCCATTCTCCTTCCATCAGCACTCCTTGAGCCTTTAGATCTATAGCTACAAGTTGAGAAAAGTAATCACCTTTATTTCATGGGTTGACCTAACTGGGGTTGACCATTTGGGCAGAGGTGTCAAATCCATGTGAAAATCTTCAAGAAGGGGCTTCTATGGGCACAGGAACTGGCCCTGGCTTTTTTTTTTGCATGTAAAAACTTTACTGTCGAGCTGTTAGGACAAATGGGAGAGGGGGACAAACCCTTGGCTGCTGCCAAAGCACGATGTTTCCCCAGGAGCAGGGCAGCCAGGCCACTTTACACCAGCATCAGGAACTGCATCACACTGTATTTGTTCTCTAGGAGGACACGAATTTAGCCAAGAGAAAAATGTGGTTTTGTGTGCAAAACACAGCAAATATACCTAATCGTTACTACTGCAGGCAGGTTTTCATTTTAAATCACAGTTTTCCAAGTCCTTAACAATTACGGTTTGACGTTCCCTGCCGTACATTTCATTTTCGTTTGGCACAGCTTGAAAACAGTCACCAGAAATTCCCTCTCGCCGCTTTCCCTGCAGCAGAGCGAGGGTACCGAGCCGTGCGAGCACCAATCGAGCCGCAGCATCCCCACCATCCCATTCATCCCGGCTGGCACCGCCCCGATGGGCGAGGCGGGGGCGGCTGTGCCGAGGGAAGGGCCGGCGCCCCCCGCCCCTCCAGACAGGGATGACGCATCGGAGCTGCTGCGGCCCCGGCCGGTGAATAATCCTCCTAAAGAAGGAGCCCCTCGGACGTCAGCGCTGGCTGCGATGAGTCAGAGATCAGGGAGCGAGGCTTTTCTGGAAGGAACACCCAAGGGGGGCTCAGCCCTCACGAAACGAGAGGGTGAGGGGGAACTGCTCGCTCCGGGCTCTGCAGCCCGTCCTGGACGCGGTGAGAGCTGACGGCACCGAAACACACCGGAATTTCGGCTCACAAGCCAGAAACCACTCAAAGGCACTGACCTGAGCTGATGTGACTCCGCGATACGGAAGCAGTATCGAAGGAGGGCTCTTCCACCCACGCCTCCTGACATTTCCCACGCATTTCAATCAGGCCAGAAAGCACAATGCCAGGTGCTGTTCTGCAAACGGCAAAGCCTGCAGGCCCTGATCCTGCAAAGGTGCCAAGGATTTCCCAAAAGCACTGGATGCTGACAGCCTTCTCCTGCCAGGTGTGGAAGGCAGTGGTGGTCCCAAAGGTATCTAACCCCACAGGACTGTTCTAAACCCACAGAACGGTTTGGGTTGGAAGGGACTTTAAAGATCATCTTGTTCCACCCACTCCCTGCCATGGGCAGGGAACACCTTCCACTAGCCCAGGTCGCTCCAAGCCCTGTCCAACCTGGCCTTGGACACTTCCAGGGATGGGGCAGCCACAGCTTCTCTGGGCAACCTTTGCCAGGGCCTCATCACCCTCACAGGGAAGAATTGTTTCCAAACATCTAATCAAAACCTACTCCATTAGTTTGCAGCCACTGCCCCTTGTCCAGTCACAACAGGCTCTTGTAAAAAACATCCCTCTCCAACCTTTCTTGCAGGCTCCCTTCGATCTTGGCCCTGGCTGCTCTCCCCAGGCAAGGGGGAGAACTGCGCAGGAAGGACATTTCCCATCACAGTCAAAGCTATTTCTCCTATTCCTCTCTCACTCAGAGAGAGAAAGACAAAGGTACAAAAATCAGAGCAGGCTGTCTAAAATAATTCATAAGGCAAAAAGCCCCTTCGCTTCTCTCTTCCCTTGTTTGAAATGTTCCAACTTATCAAATAAAGATCTACATCTAAAAGCATGTCACCCCCCAACCTTTCAGATTTGAGTCAGTTCGTTCTGAAAGTGTTAAATGGGGCATCTGATCACTTCAAGGTTTTTCCCTGACCCTTTTCAATGTTCAAACAGAGAGTTTGCTATAATTGGCTTTTTTCCCGGGGAGGTTTCAGTGAGTCAGCATTTTCTGACCAACATATTCCCATTTTCTTCAAATGTTCTCAAGCGGCTGCAGTGAAAAGTGTCTGAGCTTTGAAAGGTTGGGGAGAACTTTGTGTGTTCATCTTCACACAGAACCCACTCCTCTCAACAGATCCCTGTGCAGGACACCAGCACTTCTCTTTTTGGTACACTGACTGCTGCTCCACTTATTCTAACAAACTGCTTCCCTGCCAGCACTGCTGGGCACCAAACTTTTGTAACTGGGACAAAAACGTGGCTTAGCTGATGCGAAACGAGTTACACCCGTTTGCAACAATTGTGGGACTGGTCCGTATCCATTCTTTTTCTTAAAACTCCTCACCGAATTTCTCGTTGCAATTAGGATTTCAGAAACGGGTACAAGTGGAATATGGACATCCTGGGCTCACCTCCCACTGCAAAGTGCTGACAATCCCCTGACTGTCACCTGTGGGTGACTTCTCTGCCCAGCCCTCTCTCACTGAGCTGCATCAACACGGCCAGAGGCACGAGGAACTGACCCACACCAACCCAGGCAGCCGAAGCAAAGAAAGCAACATCCTCTCCTCTCTCCCACTGGGCTTTTACTGGCTCATAACCAAGCCTAAGCTCTTCAGTCTTGGGCAGTAAGGCAGATCAGCAGTGCAACCAGCCAAGCCCGTGCTGCAGGAATGGAGGCACGAGAAGCCTCGTGCTGCAGGAGCGATGGCTGGTGCTGTGCCTGCAGACCCACACGGAGAGCTGCGAGCACCTGTGGAAAGCCAGAGCACACAGACAGCTCACTGAGAGGGAGAGGGGTGGGACAAGGGGGTGGAAGGAAGTGGATGCTGATGTTTGCGGGCACGAGAGCATCTCTGGACAACAGGGACTGGCAATTATCCGATGGCAGATTTGGAACTGCCTCCCCACATCCTTCTGCAGCAGAAGCAGCCACACAGCAGCCCCGCTGCCACAGCCACAACGTCCTGGCACCCTTACCCCAACGGGCTCTTCCAAATGGGGCAAATGGTCCCACCAAGCCTGCACTCCTGTTCCTTCTGCCCAGGTGGTGCATTGCATCAGTAAACTAGGGGTAGAGATAAAGAAAAACACACCTTCAAAACACTTCTTAATCTCTCCAGCCAAACTGACGGGTGATTGGCAAGGCTGGGATGTGCAGACATGCAGTAATACACCCAGGAGGACAATACTGCACTGCTTCCCTTCTCAGAGGGGCAGAGGTGCAGGAGAGACAAAAGGCTGCAGCTGAAATGCAGGACCCTACCAAAGGAGGGAGGATGGAGATGTAGTAAAGGTGGAGGGGAAGGAAAGGAAGCGGAAGGAGAAAACTTCCATGTGCTTTTCTTAAGTCTAAGTGTTCTCAGACTTGCTTAGCTCTAATCTTTAATTCATATTTTCATTACAGTCTCTTTGCTCTGTAAAGTCTGCGTTTCGTGTAAAAGGAGCAGCTCAAACATCAATTATTTGACATCAGTCAACCCCCTGTTAAAAAGTCCTCTACTCTACATATATGTAGGCTCCAATAAAAGAAGCATTAAACATTCATTAAATTAGAAATACATGAAGACAGAGTCTGCTACTCTTCTCATACAGATATGCTTAGCAATCCCAACCTTCCAGAGCAGCAAAAGCAAACCCATCCCTAATCCTTTTAGAAACCCTGACCATGCAGAACACCCCAGCCTCCTGCAATGTGCCCCTGAGTAACCCAGGCATATCAGCAGGTCACATCCTTAGCTGGAGTAAATCAGAGTAAATCAGAGACATTACACCAAAGGACACAGACTCAGGATTTGGCTTGAGGCTTCTCTTGCAGCAAAATGGTTTACAGCAATGCAATTGGGTAATAATGTCATTTTTGGTCTGATCAGTCAACACCACACCTGAACAGCAACAGCATGCCTGCTTTCATTTCAGTACTGCTTTGGCTGCTTGTGTTCTGCAAAGGGAACCTGGCCTCCCAACCTCAATCTAGGAGCTTCCTCCCCACAAAAAAATCCCAAACTGACACCCCTTCTATCTATCTCTAACACCTACCCCCATACTATCACGATGACAGTGAATCTTGCACTACCACCGGTGTGCACACAAATTTCAGCAACATTTTCCCAAGGGGAAACAATCCCTGATGAGCAGAAGCTTCCTCACAAACATTTCTGAGTTTAAAGAGCAACGCAGACCACATCACATGTTTCCCACATCTCTGAGAGCTGTGTCCACTAAAAGACATCCTTGGAGCCAGTCCCATCCGACAAATGGCTCCTCATAACCCTGCCCAGCCCTCCTCCTTAGGGTGCATTTTGAACTCTGCTGCGGTGGAAGCACAGAAGCGTGGTTAGGGCCTGGGGCACACAAATCCAGGATAGCGGCTTTCAGCTCCTGCCTGGCCTTTGGCTGTCAGGCAGAGCCTTTTCCTGCCGTGTTTAATTTGCGAATTGTCCTTTTCTTGCTCGCTGGGCACAGGAAGAGAACACAAAGGCTGGGGCAGCATCAGGTGACCCGTGAGCGTGCGGGCGAACACGTCGGGTCGCAGGGGCTGCTGTCCCGCTGGCTCCCACGGCAGCTCCCTCTGAATGGAGCTTTTCCCAGCAGCATCCCTGTCACTCTGGCACTGCACAGTCCAGCAGCTCCTGCTTTGTGTGAGCACTGAGCTGTGTGATACAGTTAATCACATTAAGCGCTGCTCAGTTCGTGGCTTTTTTGTTCTCTAAAGGCTTTTCCTCTCCCTTGCCTCTTTTAGTCTCACTTCCTTTGAAACTTCGGGAGGTGGCAGCTCCAGCTCAGCCCTCCCTGATGCCATCCAGCACCAGGATGGCTAATTTTGGAAGGTTTAACCTCTGTGAACCTTTCCAAAGCTTTTCACTGTTATCAGATGACTCTTCCAACAGCTGTGCCCACGGGGAGCAGGGCAGTCTTGAGTAAGCAGGGCATTAAAGCATCTGGATAATCCAACTGCTGGAGATTTCCAAAAGCACTGGAGGGTCTAGCTCTTCACAGGTGCTTACGTGCTGAATTTCCACCAGAAAGTTTGGCATCTCCGTGCCTTTAACCACGTGGCCGAAAGTGATGGGGACGAGCCAGCTCCATGGAAAGGCAATTTCAGGGAAATGACACCTCCCAAACTGCAGTGTTGTGTCAGGTTGGTGTCTGCCTGGCCCAAATATACCGCCTCGTTTTTCAGTCTAGATCTTCTACCAGCTTTCAAATCGATCCTTTCTTCCTCTGTTGGTAATCAAATCACTCCTGTACTTGAGCTAACAGGGCACCACAGTTCCCATTCCTGCTGGTGATCCCAAAGAGCGTGAGCCGGTCGTTGCTGTGCCCCCTCAGCCCGCCCTGTCAGTGAGGTGGTGGCCGTGGGGTGACCGAGCGCCCACGAGGCTGCCTTGGTGGATGGGTGCCATCAGTGCTTCATCCCCCAGGAATGAAGGGTGCTGTGGCTACACTACACTACTGCCTTCGGCCGGCGGGAGCCAGGAAGGGATGGTGGAGTCCAGCAAAGTCCGGCGGGGGAACACGTCTCCTCCTGGATGGTCACATTCAACTGGCATCTGCACAACCAAGCAGCACATTGCATAGACTTTGACTGAAGGGGGGTTAAGTGCAACCTTAAAATCTGGCCATTTCAGGGATTTCTGAAATAAATTAGAAGAGGAATTTTATTTAGTTGTTGGTTTGGTTTCTTTTTTTTTTTTTCCTAAAGGAATCTGCCCATGGCTCCAAATCACTGTTTTCCATAAAGTAAATGAATATGAAGTCTTCTCTCATCCTCTTGCCACATTTTCTGTGTCACCTTTATCCTCCAACAGTTGTATAAAATCAAATGGCAGACAAAACATCCTCTCCCCAAATCCTTCCTTTTTTTTTTTTTTTTCCTCAAACTTCTAGTAATTTTTTTCCCACATTTTCTTGATTTTTTTTTTTGTCAGTGATCAGGTTAGAAGCAGAAGCTTTCCAAAACAATGACCTGGAGCTTCAGCGATCCACATCTTGCAGATAAATAACAAGCTATATTTATGCAATAAAGCACAAGTAGTTTAATATCCAGGCACTGGATTATTTGATATTAAAATCTTGGCACTTTTCAAGATAAGCTGATAATTTGGAACAACAGAGCCCACGTGGGAAGGTTCTTTTTGTCAATACTGGTTAACAACATGCACTGTTAATCCATCACCTAACAGGATTTGCACTTAGCCTTCTGTCCCCACAAATCCTTGAAGCCTCGAGGGTCTGACCCTGGGTGTTATTCCACACAGAGATGTGCAAAATTCCCTCAGGGACAGGTGTAAAATGAATTTGCTCACTAAAGGAAAGGTTCCCTTGGCTTCAGCAGGCTGGGAAAATCCTTGGGGGTTTCCTGAGCAAGACATGCTGTGCTCCAGCAGGATCAGGCTGGGGTGCAGAATGCTTATTTCAAATTAACTCCAACAGAGAAATAACGAGCAGCAAGTTTATGTTCTCAGTGAATTAAGAGAGAACCTCAGGTGAAATGTGGGTTTATGTGCACGGAAATAAATTATTATTTACTCGCTCTTGCGCTCATGCCCTCAAATATGGAGACATTTGTAGGGAATTATTAATATTTATAGCATATTGTAATAAATACCCACAAGAGCTTTGCCTGGAGACATGCTATTTTACCGATGTAAAATCTGCTGAAGGTCAAAGGGATCTTTTAGTTGTGTGTGGAGGACAGGATCAGCCTCTTTACTTGGAAATCTGTATCAAGTGTGATAATTTAAAACTTTAATTAAAGAGCCAGTGACAGATTATCTACAAAACGTCTTCCTGCTGCCCAGTATTCCATCAGGAATGTTTCCAGAAGCCCAGGCTGAGTAAGCACACTTGCCAGGAAATATTTCACTGTGGACATGTTAGCTGTTATCTGGCTTGTTGGGTAACAAATTCTTTTGTTGAGGACTGGTGGCAACAAACACTGAATTAAAGGCAAAACCAGACCCCAAACCAGAAATCTATAATACTTATTTTGTTCATCCCTCAAGAAAATGAAAGTACCACAGCAAAGACAATTTTTGCAGCTGTGTCACTGCATGTTATAAATGGGGAAAGTTGCCTTTGAAACGTTCTGCAAAGCATTTCACATTTTAGACAGGACAAGAAGTTAACAATTCTATTGTGGCACCTATTAGAATTTTAAAATTAATTTCCCTGACACAGCTGTGCCATAAAACCCCCCAGGATGATGAGTTTTTGCTAATGTCAAGATTACTTTTGGATACAATTCAGAAGGAGCCCTTTGTAAAATCAGGAGAACACGGGGTGCCAGGTGCCCTGCACTGCCCTCTCCTCACCCCTGCTCAGCTCCGGCCTTTCCCCAGGCAGCTGCCAGGCTGCCAGCTGGGAATTGCCTCTGGCTTTCCTTCCATGGAGTGGCAGACAGTGGATGGATGCACACGTGGTGTGAAGCTGAGATCCCTGAGAGCAGGGGGCTTGGAAGGACCTCCAAGGCCCCCTGGGGACTCCCTGCTGGAGCACATCTACTCACACCCCAGGAAAGGGCACGCTGGGAGCGGGTGGTTTTGGCTCTGGCAAGCAGCACAAGGGGGAAGGTGAAAACACTGCTAATTTCTCCCTTTGTGCACAGCAGGAGTTGAGAATGGCTTGGAACTGGCAAAGAAGGGGAACCGATTTAATCTGGGCCATGGATTAAACCAGATGAAGAGATGTGAGGGATGACACACTGGGGATCCCCCCCATCCCTGCAGCCTTGCCAGACCACAGCCAAACAGGGGGAGGAAACGGCAAGAGCGACCTCCAAGCGATGCATGAGAAAGGGTGTTAAAAACACACACATCCCACCAACACCGGGGCCCAATCCGCAGCACTGGATGGATTTATGGGGAGGGACAAGCAGAAGTTGGGAAATGAAGAGTTCAGGGTGAGCTGAGGGGGCCCAGAGGAGGAATGAGCAACACCACACGGGCATGTCCACAGCCCTGGCTACAGGAGGATGGAGAGCTCACTGGGATTTTCGCGTGGAAAGGCTTTGGCACAGGCGGAGTGGATGGATTTCCTTTCTGAGCTGCAGCAGAGCCTGGGGGCAGGAGGGACAGTGTGGATGGTGGCAGTCACAGGCTTGATTTTAACAGTGATAGGCAAGTTTTAGATGCTGTAGAGGAGAGAGTTAACAACAGCTGACACAGTTTTGTCTGGAGAAGTCACAATGACTGAAAATAACAACTCGGGGCCACAATTCCGCGGTCTGTCACTACCAGGAAACGTGAAATCCAGTGACCTTTCATCTCCACGACAGAAATGCTGCGCAGCACCTGGAGCCATCACCCTTAAAATCCACTCTGACAAGTTGGATGATAGGACATGAAGGTGAAAATGTCCTCTCCCTCCCTCAGCCCCAAATTTCAGCCTCCCGGTGAACTCCGCCTGCTCCGTGTGTAGCGGGGTATCCCTTGCCAAGCAAAGCCAGTTTTGTGGGAGCTGCAGAGTTTAGCAAAGCACGAGATAACAATTTCATTTCTTCTGACAATCAGGAATAAAGCCACTTGTTCGCACTGCTTCGAAATCATGGAAGGGAAATTGATATTGGCTTTCTATGGATCTTCAGGTCAGGCTTGTTAGAATCAACACATTTTTGCATTATCACAGAATCACTGAATGGTTTGGGTGGAAGGGACCTTACGCATCATCTCATTCCACCCCTGCCCATGGGCAGGGACACCTTCCACTATCCCAGGTTGCTCCAAGCTCGGTCCAGTCTGGCCTTGGACACTTCCAGGGATGGGGCAGCCACAGCTTCTCTGGGCAGCCTGTGCCAGTGCTCACTGCTGCACAGCAATTCTGCCCTTGGCAAGACGGAGTTGAGAAAGACACCAATCTGAATGTCTCGAGAGGAAATTATTCTCCCGGTAAGGACAGCAACAGCTAAACAAGCAGGCAAGCCACGCTGCTGGCAGAGTGCAGCAAATGATGCAGGGCTGTGTTTTAACCAAAAACAAGGGTTTTCCAAAGTTTTAAAGAGCAGCTTTTGAGATGATGATTTGCACTTCATGTCTTTCTGGACATGTCTTTCCTCCCCTCTAACAACTGCATCCCTTGAGCTCTTCTGCTCGCCCGTGTAAAGCGATGACCACAGGGACTGAGATTAAAGTAAAATCTTTTCATCACACTGAAACATGGCACTGAAACTGTCTTGACCACTTTGGCAGAAAGCAAAAGCTACTGGATGGAAGAAAAAAACCCAAATAAATTTAAAAAAGGGGGGTTCAGGCATTTAAGTGGGTCTGTCAGCTTGTGTTATCTTCACGCATTTGTGAGACTGAGCTTTAATTGACTGGCTGCAGTGGGGAGCTGAAAGACAAAATTTTGGTCTCAAGATGAGCAGACAGCTGAAAGCATTGTGCTCCTCATTCATTAGGATGTGTCAGACGGATTCAGATGGGAAGAGACACAGCAATGGCTTCTGCTTTCTCCTGAGTCTCCCAGACTATAAGGGAAAGGCAAAGGGAGCGTGCCACACTCAGCCACATCCAAGAGCAGTAACAAGCAGCTCATCACATTCCCTGTGGCAAAGGAGACTACTGTGGTGCCCACTAATTTTTATCCTGTGTGAATTGTTTCATTCCATTTGTGATAGATACAGCCAGAACTCCAATCTCTGGCCAACTATGAGCCAGTCAGCTCCAGCTGCAGTAGGAGCAGCAGAAAGCCCAGCTAGGAGTCTCACATCCCGATATCCCTACAGCCAGGCTGGGACACAAGGAGGGGTTCAGCTCCTCAGTCCCAAGGAACAGCCATGACCCACCGCTGGCTGAGCTGTGCTCCAAGCCCCGTTCTCCCTGGCGCCAGAGACCAGGATTCCCAAGGCTGCTCTGGAGAGGATGGTGAGAGACACAGCCCTGCCTTAAATGGGTTTCAGCTGTACAGCTTTATATCTGTACCCCCAAAGATGAGCGAAGAGAGGAGTTGGAGGGATTTGGTAAAACCATGGGTGAGGCCTCCTGGCTTCTACTTGAGGGTTCTGATCTGTGCCCCAGAGTCCCTTCAGCACGTGGCTGATTTTCCTTCTTGTCCTCCTGTCCTTGTTCCCACCAGCAGGAGCTGCTTCTTTCCCCTTCCCTGGTTATTTGGGCACTCTTGACTGTTTGGGGAAGAAAGATGCTGGTCCTTCCTGGTCACCAGGGGTATCAGGGACTGTGACACAGGAAGCCACCCACCCCAAAGAGGGAGAGGCTGGTTACTGGGGAAATGGTGACGGTGGGGAAGGGTCGGCAGGGAAATCCAGCAGCTCCTGGACCTGTGTGGAGGCACCTCTGTGTCTGCACTCCCGGGAAGCCTGAGGGATGCTCACAGGTTGGATTCGCGTGACACAAACCGGATGGGATGTGGTGCCAGTGTAAATGCCGGGGATTCAGGATGGGACCCTACACAGGATGGGAACAGAGGCCAAACACACAGGAGCAGCATTTTTTTGGGTGTAAATGAGTCTGAACTGTGTTCAGACATGAACTGTGCACAGCCACGGCCAGTGGTACCCCCAGGTCACCAACACAAGACATCTGTCTTGTTGAGTGTGGTGGGAAACCTCACACTCAAGCACAGCAAAGGTGGTGGGCAGAACTGGGGAACAAACCTTTTCTCTGCAGCTCATCAACAACAACAACCAACCAATGCAACTTCCTATGAACATTTTCTGCTTTTCAACAGCAACACAAAACTAAGTGTAAATCTTAAATATACTTTGGAGCAAGAACTGTGGTTTAATAGAACCCTTAGGATTTCAATTAGTACTTCTGGTAAAATTTTCCAGATATTTTTTAATTTTGCCAGTTCCTTTAGTAAAAGCATGTTGGCTTTCAAACTCTTTGCTTTCTCTCTGCCTTAAAGAGCAGAAAATGTGTTGAAAATGTTATTTCTTCGCAAACATTTTCATTTACATCCAAAAGCAACCATTACTCTTATCCAGCAGCGGTGATGTATGTACGAGAAAATATATACAAATCGTGAATTCTAAACAGGAGAAGATGAATCCAAGTGGCCATTTTTTACATGTTTAGAAAGCTGTGAAGAGGTCTCCGTGCAGCTGCCTTACCTTTTAATCTGTCTTCACATCTACATTAGGAGAAAGGTGCTTTTTCAGAGACACACGTGGTACAAGACTGGGGAGACCTTCTTGGAAACAGTTCCTTTCCAAAGAGGTACTTCCAGTCATTCCAAAACCTTTCTTAAAAGTATTGATGAATCAGGCTCCAATTCATGAAATCACTTCAGAGGACAGTGAGGGCCAACACTACACACACAGCTTCCAGCACACAACTAACGATGTTCTGGGCTTGGTGAGTGTCTTACCGGCCACAGGAGAAGTTTGCCATTGATTTCAGTGGGTTTTCCCTTGGTCTTGGGTAATAAGCATTGGTTTTTAAATTTAGGGACAAAGACTCTCTCTTTTCTCACGGACCTGGTTCTATATTAGACTACTTATGAGAAAAAAGCAATGACATGAAACAACCACTGATACCAGGACTCAGTCCCACAAAGCCTTAGTCATGTCAGCCATTCCATCTGCTTCCAGGAGGAGACACAGGCCAGGAAGGGCAGCCTTTAATTTTCCCAGTTGCCACCCCATAACTGAAGGCCATGCACAAGGAGAAGTCGCATCCCCAACTCCAATGGAAGCAAACCTGGCGGGGATGCAGCAGTAACAACATTCGAATGAAATGTTTCCTTTATATCTCTTTGTTAATTCAACACAGTACTTTCTTACCATTTTTGCAGACAGGACAACACTGTTCTGGTTCATAGACTGGGTTGACACACTCGGGAACTGCGCAGTCTGCTACAACACAGTGAACTTCATTGCTGGGCTCGCAGCGACACCATTCGCATGGCGAGGGCTAGGAACAAATCTCAGATTAGCCCAGTGCCTCCCGCAGCTCACAACTTTGCAACATTTCCATCTTGCCACAAGATAAACACATCAATACCCCCTGACTGCATCATTCATCATGGGTAACACAATTGAACCTCTGGGACAAAAGAGCAACATCTGAAATAGGCACCAGAACATCAGAGAAACCGGCGTGCGAGCCTGGTTTTCCCAAAGGGGTGTGGGGTTCTTTAGCCTTCATGAGACTTTAGGTCCCTTTGCCAGAAAACCTGAGCTGAAGACACCAGGTTGTACCTCTGCTCTCCCCATCTGTGTTATCTGACACATCTGGAGCCAGAGGGAAGAGTGGGATTTTGGGAAGGTCACGAGTGTTGGTTCATCCCAGGAAGGGAGGACAGGGTGATTTTCCAGGCCATACTGCTCTGCCTTGTAGACCCCCCTGCCAGCACACCCCAAACTGTTGAAAAGGTGTTGCTGGGGTGGCCTCTCCATCTGGCAGCTCCGCAGCTTTCACTCCCACTTTTCAGGGCAGAGGAGAACAGTGTTGCTCTTGGAGGGGCAAAACCATTTTATTGTGGGGTCTGTGGGCACTCCCATGACATTACCATTAGTTCTGGTGCTGGCCCCTCTCCTGCTTGCTTCAACAAGGTCTGTGAGCAACAGACTCACACAAAATACGTAAATAATTAAGACACTGAGTAATTCAGCTGAGTCAGGGAATTCTGGATTAAAGCACACGGCTAAATGGATTTGTTTCAGCTCCATCAATCCAAACAGGAATCTCCCTCCACCCCTGAATAGCACGGAGTTGTTACTGCCTCACCCTTGGAAAAGCTGCGAAAATGCGTTGAAAAGCAGAAAGGTCAGTGTTTTAAGGTTTCCAGCGACTTGTGTGTGTGCAAGTGTGATGAAAGGATAGCAACAGAGCTAAGAAAGGAGAACAAGAGGAGAACTGAAAGGAAAATAACTTCCTTTCAGTACCAGCAGGTTCAATATGTACCTCCCATTTTCTCAGCAATGGTACATCCATCACTTACGCTCGAACGAGTAAAATGTGGGTATTGGAAAAAAAATCTGCTTTATGTTGCATTGATGGGAGTCTGCAGCAATGGGAATTCCCCAACATTAAAAAAAAAAAAAAAAAAGAGAAGTGAGATGTTAAGAAAGAAGGAGTAATCCTGATGTGTTGCAGACCCCAGTGATGGGTCACTCATTTCTACAAGACAGATGAGCCCTGGTTCTGGCAGGTAAAGAGCTTTTCAGTTCACCTCTAAGAAGCTCCATATGTCTCGAGTCTAATAATTTATTCCCAGGAAATTCATTTCTACCTTAAAATGCACTAATTAAAGCTTCCCTTGCTTTGTCTCAGCGTCTGCAGTCTATAATTCCCATCACCTTTCATTTGCTCACGGTTTTGGCAATTTAGATAAAATCAGCACTCCTTGAGCAAGGGAAGAAGCGTGTGGAGGTGGAATTCCTCTTTCTAATTATCGTTCCTCATTCAATCCTGCTTTGATTTCTGTCTGAAGCACCAGGAATCTAAATCCATTTGACTGACATTTCTTATTCAAGGCTATTTAATAAGAAGAAACAATACAGCAGAAAATAGACAGAACTATTTGCTGGGGGATCAATAAGAAAATTGCCGCTTTGTTTTTACTCATTTTAATCGCTAATTATACGGAGCAGCAGAACTAGATCTTGTGATTTGTGCAGGCTTTCACTGACGTACCCTCCAGGACTTGTACCCATCCTCACTACGACGCTGGCTGCAATGCTAAGAAATATGGGATGGGTTTCCAGGACTGCAGCCCAATCCATGGCTTAAACATGATCAGCACAAGCAGGAGATGCCCCTGAACGACTCTGCTCTGAGCCAGTGAGACACGACACACACATCTTTTGCTTCAGCGCTGTCCGTGTAACCTGACAGTGACACTGCAATAAACCACGGGGATCCCTGGCACTGAGAGCAGCCTTCCAAGAGGGGAGAACTGGGCACAATTCAGGCAGGAGGGCACACCCCGGCGGGCACAAGGAATGAGCAGCCAGCAAAAGAAAAGGCTGCTCTGGCGTCAGCCAGACCCTCTGCCACATCCTCTCCCCCACTCTATCAAGGTCAAGTTGTTTGGTCTTGCCACCAGGATCTTCCTCTGTCTGACCATTTTTTTCACTTGCCAGTGCCCCTTACCATGGCTCTTCCCCAGCCCCTCCTGCCCACCTAGTTTATGAATGTCCTGGCACTTTCTCCCGTGGGATGTGCTTTGGGATCCGATTCGCAAAACCCTGCCCTTTCAGAAAAGACTTTTCCCCAAGCACACTGATTGAGCATCTTCAAACTGTTGTGTGCAGGCTCTGCATCCAAGCTTTTACTTTCCCTGGAGTTTATCCTTCTTGGGGAACAATTGGCCAAAAAAAGGTCCTCTCTCTATGGATATAGGCAGTAGGTAGAACCAGCAGCAAAACAACAAACTGGGAACCACTGAAAGACATCCCAAAGCTTTGTTTCCTGTTTCCAAGATTTATCCCCCATGGAAGAGGGGTGGTTTACACTTCTGTAGCCACTAAAGTTCAAACATCAGTTCCAGAAAAGAAACTCTCATCCCTACTGGAAAAGGAAGTTGAAAAAATACAGAGGGTTTCTGGAGCAGGAGCGAGAGAGGACACGGTCCCACATGGGGAGTGCAAATGCTTTACTGCCGTCCCTTAAACTGATATTCTGGAAACACTGGCAAGATTAAAGGATCACAAAAGGTGATCGATCATTCATTTACTCCAGCTGTCCAAGGCAGAATGATCTCTTTAAAGACTTTTAGGAAGGATTTCAAAAGATGTTGGTGAAGAAACATTCTCCTCACCACTGCCCAAAAGGAAAGGGCTCCATCACACACCCTGGGGTGGCCAGAGGAAGGAGGGGAAAACCTTAAGTCTCAGGTGGTGTCAAATGGGAAACATCTGGAAGCAGCAGAGTTTGTTAACAAAGGAAGAAGGAAGGAAAATTAAAACAGAGAATAAAGAATCCACATGGCTAATAAAGATTTTATGTGCATGAGCACATAACAACAAACTTGATAGATGATGCAGACAAACAAATGAAAAAGGCAGCAAGAGGAACAGAATGAAAAAAAAGATACACCCTGAGCAGGGGAAATAGGGACGCCCCTCAAGTCTTCCAGAAAGAGTGGTGGACACAGAGAGATCACATGATCAAACAGTTCTTGAGGAAAAGAGCCTAAAAACCTGATCGTTCACAAACCTTAAGGGAGAGGTGGCAAAAACAGAAATCTGAACTCAAAACTTAACGTTTAAATCTACTTATTAATAAAGATAAATAAATCTACTTGTTAATGCTTTTTTACAGCTGAAGAGATCTGGAGCAAACATTTTTTTAGACTCAGGCAGCTGGTACAATCACACCCATAACCGACACACAAAACCTCAAGTTTTTAGTCAAGGTCTCGAAAGAAACTTCTGCAGGACTTTAGGCTTTACTCCACCTCACTCATCTCATTTAGTCACGGGAATTCTCTTGTCCCAAATACTCACTGAACCTCACCTGTATTCCTCCCTTGTCCGCAACTTCACCACCTGAAGCCACCTCTCTCTGCTGCTCCAAACAAAGCCTTTGTGAAAGCCTTTTCTATCACATGTACACTGCCCTGCAAAAGCTCTCAATGAGCAGGAAGCATTGTCCTTGAGTGGACAGAGGAAGCATAAATATATATATATACATGTATATGTGTTTGTGAAACATTATTTTGCATTCCTTCTCTTCCCTGCCTGCAGTGAGGATTTCTCTGTCTCATGTCTGCTTGTCAATCACTCTGAGCTGCTTCTACACAAACATCTCTAGGGGGGTGGAAAGGGAGTGATTTACCCAAGACAAACTGAAAACTCTGAAGGCGACATGTGACTGATACTTTTTCTTCACCTGTTTGTTCTGTCAATCAGCAGTAATTTTCCTCGACATCCCTGTTTGCTCCTCTGCCACACTCACCAGGATAACTGTGGTTTCCAAGTGCACTCCTCTCAGTCCTGCACGTGGGCTGTCACCCAGCTCACTAGAGATCTCAGACCAGGTTTTAAGGCTGCAGTCTCCTGGGATGAGCTGTGATTCTTCCAGCTGGCTTCACTCAGACTCGGGGTTTGAGGCTCATACCCCTCCAGGAGCTGGGAAAATGCTGCTCATTTTCCAACAGCCTTCCAAGACTGAAGTGTCCTTTGGCACCTAAGTATTACAAGAGTCAGTGGAGCTTGTACCATTAACACAGACTGTACAGAGACCTTGCTGCTCGTGACTTCCCACTCCATGAATTCAGATGCCAGCTCCTCCAGGCGTGTTGAACACAGCCACTCCCCAGTGCTTTGGACCTCCCCTCACTTTTTCAAGAAAAGACTTCCAGCTGTGTGGTGTGTTCTTTGTCCCTGGGTTTTCAGCCTCGTGGAAGGTTTACCTCTTTGCTGGAGCCAGCACTGAGGCTGCTCAAAGCTATGGCAAATTCTTGCAATTGCCGTTTCTGAGATCCAGCTCTCAGGATCTGTTGGGCTGCTCTCTTGTCCCTCCTTCCTACACTCTCCAGCTAAGCCTGAAGAGGGTTTTTGTACAAGAATGTCCCATAATCCCACCCTGGAAGACTCAGTCTCATTGACAAGGTGCCATGAAGTGATCACATAAGGACCGTGTCCTTGTGCTGTCTGCCACACAACAGCCCTTCATCAATTATACACAGGCACTGCCAAACAGAGCAATACAAACTTCATGACGATTGTATCGTGAATACTTGACATTTCCTTTGGGGAAATGAAATAGAAAAGCTACATGTAAGTGTTTACAACCATCTAATCATGTTACAATGGACCTACCGATCATCATGCAGGGGCTGTTCAAGTTAGTGGAGCACAGTCTAAGTATTTCCACTGAACTGAATACACCTGCTGTTGGGGCCTGTGATGCTCTCCCCAGTCAAACAGGTGAATTTACAACGTGGCCAGAATAACTGGAGAAAT